GCTGCTGAAAATTAGCAGGCCTTCTCTGTGTCAAGCTTGGCCAGATTTAGATGGCCACGTAGCTGTACCATACAATATCATGCATGTACTGGGGCAGTTCTGGGAACTTGGGGATGCATGATGCTGTTTCAAGCTGGCAGGGGAGTGAGGCCTAAATAGGATATGACCCACTGATTCACAGCAAAGAATTTACCAGCTTTTCTTGCAGTTCATTTAGTGCATTATTATTTTCTGTAGGCAGAAGCCTCGTGTCTGAAGCTGAATTTGGTGCTAATGTTACAGTGAGTGTATTTCACAAGCCTGAAGTGTTACACACTATCATATTTGGAATGTATTTGATTTCAGTCTGATTGGGGAAAGTGGGTGTATTTTTCAATAGGTTAAAAACAGAATACAAAATCATTCCTGACTAATTCAAACAGACTTGAAACCACCATGTTAATACAGAGTGGAGTCTATAGTCTGGAGTGGTGTTTTGATAAAATTATTATGGGAATTTTAACGCCAATTACACCTGTGTTTCTGTACAACTAAAGAATGACGTCCCGAAAGAGTGCTTTCATTCTGCTGTTGATTTGTCTTGATTACTGCTATTCAATAGCCAGGTAGTAAAATAAATACCAAATTAGCAAAAACAGAGATAAAAATTTATGATATATACAGAAAGTTAGCTTAAGAGGTATATGTCCTCCTTGATGTTGCCTAATTCCTTCAGGATTTTGTGTGCTCATAAAAGGGAGACTTGATGTTTTTTATTAGGAATGCAGTCCTCTTCCTACAGTTTGTAGGACTGGACCCTAGTTTTCAGTTATTAAATTAGGCTGCATCAAAGTTTTCTGTTATTAAAGCTAACTTGATTCAATCGTTTTGAGATTGGAAAACTCAAGAATTATAGAGTTATCTCTCTGATACTGGTTTGCATAGTTTTCCTTGCTATGCTGGACCTGATCCTGCTCCCCTTGAACAGGGCTGGTTCTACTGTTTTTGCCGCCCCAAGCAGCACGCCGAATTGGGCGGCATGCGCTTTTCCACGGTGGCAGCAATTCGGCGGCAGCTTCTGTCTTCAGCCGGAAGACAGAAGCCACCGAATTGCCGCCGCGGGCAGCTGAACATAGAAGCTGCCGCTGAATTGCTGCTGCCGCGGAAACGCGCGTGCCGCCCTAACGGCACACGGACTGCCCCCGCCACCCGCGGCGGCAATTCGGCGCGCTGCTTGGGGCGGCAAAAACACACGGACTGCCGCCCCTTGCAGATTGCCGCCCCAAGCACCTGCTTGGAATGCTGGTGCCTGGAGCCGGCCCTGCCCTTGAAGTCAAGCTATGTCTGCTTCCCCTTGTGAGTGACACTGGACATTGACTCTGGGGAGATTTGAGATATGCAGGAATTTGTGAAATATTTCTCATCTGACACCCTTGAGCGTGAGTTGCTATATCGAGGTCCAAACTTCCCCAAAGTTAAGGAATGTCCAGGGCAGGGGTTTGGCACATTATAGAGATGGGGGTGGGGGCAACTGTGAAATTCTGGGATGTTGGAGTTGGTTCATGACGCATCCATGTGTTGGCATCAGGCCTCTGCACCAGCTCCAGCTCCCAGGCAGCATGGTTCCAATGGAACAGTGCTGTTCTGAACGCCACAGCCCTAGGCTGGGACTCTTCTAATGGGGAGCTCCATAGTGCAAGGACAGGGAAAGAGGCATACAAACTGCAATGTAGCCTCAAGCTTCATTAAGTTTTGACAGTTTCCCTGCAGGGCTTCTCAGGGGGTGAATTGTGTCCCCTCTCTGGTCTCCTCCTGCTTCCACTTTGGACCCTAGATACACAGTTGATCCTCTGTAAATTCCAGGACTGGGACAGATGGTGCCATGGAAGAAGCTGATTCTGTCTTTTGCACAGGGATAGCCATGCATAAAGTGCACATTTCCATTTAGAACTCAAATACATATTTCAATATTCCCCATGCTGGGAAACAGCCTGGGAGTCAAGATACCTGTATTCAATTCCTGGCTTCATCCCTACCTTCTGTATGATTTTGGCAAGTTGCTACACTTATTATCTGATGTGCAGAAGTGCTTAGGGGACATAATTATGGAGTAGGCCCCCTCTGAGCTAGGTGCTGTGAAAATACATAACAAAAAGACAATCCCTGACTCAAGAAGCTTGCATCATCTCTGCGTCTCTGTCTCCCCTTCTGCCTCTGCCAGTGTGACCTATTTAGAATGCACTTTCTTCAGGGCAAAGATTGTCTTTCACCGTGTGTCTGCTTTAAAGTGTTGAGTATCTTAGTTTTTAATTACAAACAAGTACTGGGACATAGGCATTGCTCCATTATCAATTGCAATCCAAATGCCCTTGCAGAAACTTATATGCCAAATTTACACTCAGAAAGAATTTTTATCTTGTATTTATAGCCCCTAGAAAACAGTTTGTAATATGTTGGACCTTAGCTATAATGAAGCTATAATAAGTATCTCTGAAATGGTACTAAATATAAAAGCAGCTATGTTTTATACAGAAATCTCAGTGGAAAAAATCAGAAAGTAGATACCAGCTAAACCAGGGGCGGGCAAACTTTTTGGCCTGAGGGCCGCATCGGGTTTCGGAAATTGTATGGAGGGCCAGTTAGGGGAGGGGGTCGTGGCCCGGCCTCAGGACCCTTGCCCCATCCAACCACCCCTTCTCCCTGTCCCCTGACTGCCCCGGGAACCCCTGCCCCGACTGCCCCCCCTGCCGGCCCATCCAACCCCCCCTCTCATTCCTGACTGCCCCCCAGGGACCCCGCCCCATCCAACCACCCCTTCTCCCTGTCCCCTGACTGCCTCCAGAACCCCTGCCCCTGACTGCCCCCCGCCACCCCATCCAACCCCCCCTCTCCTTCCCGAGTGCCACCCGGAACCCCTGCCCCCATTTAACACCCTGTTCCCTGCCCTCTGACCGCCCTGCCCCCTATCCATACCCCCGCCTCCTGACCACCACCCCAAACGCCCCTGCCCTTTATCCAACCCTCCCTCCCCCCGCTCCCTGCCCCCTTACCGCACTACCTGGAGCACCGGTGGCTGGCGGCGCTACAGCCGCGCCGCCCGGCTGGAGCCAGCCACACCATTGCCATCGCGCAGCACAGAGCACCTGGTCAGGCCAGGCTCTGCAGTTGCGCTGCCCCAGAAGTTTGCAACCCCGCTGCCCAGAGCATTGCGCCAGCGGCGGAGCAAGCTGAGGCTGCAGGGGAGGGGGAACAGCTGGGGAGGGGCCAGGGGCGATCCTCCTGGGCCAGGAGCTCAGGGGCCAGGCCAGGAGGATCCCGCAGGCCGGATGTGGCCCGCGGGCCATAGTTTGCCCACCTCTGAACTAAACCATAGAAAAATAAATACATATTTGACATCCTTCAAAATGTGCCTACTAGTTCTCAGAATTATATAAATTATATCAGAACATGAACGTATCACAACACAGAGAGCCTCTCACCATCTTTTTTTCTGGTAATTAATGGATATATCCTGGGAAAACAATAGACAGAGAGAAACTGTGGTCTTGTGGATTAAACAAAGGACTGGGAAGCTGGAGTCTATTTCTAGCTCTGCCTCTTTCCTGTATAACCATGGGCAAATGAACTAAACTCTTATTGGCCGTCATTTTCCTCTCCGTAACATGGGGCTAATGATGCTTCTATGTTATGAGATTTACTTCATTAATGTCTATAAAGCACTTTGAGATTCTTAGATGCAAAGGGCTCTTGAAGTGCTAAGCATTATTTTGATTGATTTTATGATTATATTGCAGTCTTCAGTTGATAAGTCTTTAAAAGCCACAAACCTTGTGGCAATTCATAAACCAACAGGGAAAATTGATTTGCCAAGTTCAAATGTCTATTTGTGCCAACCATCTCAATAAGCAATAGCAAATAATGCACAAATCTTATCTGACACCCCCAAGGACTAAGGGGATCACTGACACATCTCTATGATGGTGCTGTTAGTCTAGCAGCTGGCAGTTTGAAATACAAGTGTTAGGACTGCCCTGGAGTACAGATTTTCTAAGAGATAGTATGATTGAAGATCTTCAGCTTCTAGGCTGCTTTCTCTACAAATTAATGGCTATTGTTTTATTTGGGGTAGATAGTGGTAACACATCAAGAAAAGCCGATCTACTGATGCAATTTCTTTTGACAGCTGCCGGACATGTTATAGTAGCCAGAGGCATGGCCACTCTGGCCCCATTTTGGGTGGTAGGTACTGTAAAAGTGAGGTTTTTACCCACGAAAGCTTATGCCCAAATAAATCAGTTAGTCTTTAAGATGCCACCAGACTCCTTGTTGTTTTTGTATGGGATATGTCGGTCATGGAAATGCTTGCATCAAGTATGTTTAAATGCCCATGATTTTACAATTTGCCTACCTTTTCTCAACCACACCAACTAAAATACTTAGGGGTCAAATAGTCATGCTTATCATTCTTTGTACCTTATTAACTTGTATTATATTGAAGTTTCTTCTCTCAATATGAATTATCCAGCTAGATTTAGCAATATGGGTAAGGGTGGAGGTGGCAGAATGAGCTCTTTTAATTGATTTCCCAAGCTCTGCAACTTCCTCGTCTAGATCAGTCCTTCTCCCACCAGTACAATTTCATCTAGCCTTCTGCCACGTCCCAAAGATGGGAGATAACAGGCTCCTGGCTGATATCAGTGCCAGATATATTGGATCAAACCAGTGGACAAGGTGGAGTGTAAGATCTTTATCTCCCCCCTCCCCATTACTGCTGTGACCTGAAGCACATCCTGCACGCAAATCCACACAACACACAGAGCATTGTATGTAAGGCCTCTTTGAATGAAGTTCACTGGGGACATCCTTTATTTTCCATGATCGTGGTTTGATTTGAGGAAAGTAGCAGGAGGGGATCAGAAGATTCTAACCTGATGGGCCCCTCTCTCATAAGACATTTCTGCCCGAAGAAGTATGGATGTAGTTTATTTTTAATGATACACATTTTTCTCATCTTTTCTTAGATTATGATGTTGAAAATGATCTTCAGTCACAAGTCGGTTGAACGCTGCAAGCCATCTGACAACACAGTTCAAAGCATAGAACTGCAGAAAGAATGCAATTTCTTCTTGACGGCTGTTCGCTTGGCCTCTCTAAACCAGATCTTGGACCCCTGGGTTTATCTGCTATTAAGAAAAATTCTCCTCCGAAAGTTTTGTCAGGTAGCAAATGCTATCTCCAGTTGTTCTGATAATGGATGGAAAGGGCAACCTATCATGTTAACAGATGAAATCAGACAGACAGCAGCATGAAAGAATATTGATACACCTTGCATGCAAATTACTTTTGACAAGTAATCTTAAGCCTTACTGTGAATTTGGGCATCTGTGGCATGCCGGTGTCTCCACATAACCAACTGCAGTATAGTAGTACTTTTGAACGGACATAGAATGCCAGATAATTATGTATCCGGTTTGCTAACAATACATAAATATAAACAAAGGAGTATGTTCTATTATTAACAGTTACCTAAAATTCTGGTCTCTTTACGATCCATAGCTAAAACCATTCAAGCTAAAGAATGACTTTTTTTCTGCTGTACACATCATGTTTTCTGGGGATTTTTCTTTCTTTGAAGGAGAAGAATCAATAATTTTTATGTCAGGTAACATTTGAGACACAGATTCAACAGCTTAAGTTATTGAAAAGACTCATTATTGCACTTAATTTTGACTCTAAGCTTATCTGCTAGATCCAGATATTATTCCTACCTCCTTTTTTGGGGAAAATGCAAGAGACTTGAGGAAAAAAATAATAGGAGTCCTTTCCTTTCTTTAGATTTCAGTGATTTGTTAGAAGAATTGCCAATGTCATTGTGTATAATAATGGTGTTCTCTTTCAAGTGCTGAAAGGCAGCAGGAGTTTTATGTGCTACGTGGGCTTACCATGGTAATTACTGATTTTTAGTGAATGCAAGAATAAACTCACCTGCCACAAAGGAGAGGGGGCTTTGGGGAACCGCAGAAAGGTACAATCTACCTTTTTTAAAAAAAAATAAACTTTGCACTTTTTTTTACAAGTAATACCTACGAAACACCCAGGTTAGTGAAGCATTGTTTCATGCTATGGTGATGTAGTCTACCTTAGCTATTCACAGTAGATATCCCTTTCACATAGCAAAAAACTCACCCAATACCTTCAAAGAGCAGCTTTATTTGTGAAGGTCATGATTCTGGGAACAGAAAGACCTTTCAGCTACCCTCTGGTGGTGGGCACACCACATACACAGCACCACTTTTTTACTTAAGCACCCTAAGGGTGGGTCACTCACAATATGAAATATCAGCCAAGAAACAATAGATTTTTCCTAAAAGCCAGCTTTGAGAAACATGACAGCCTTGGGATTTTTTTTTCTTTTTTTAAATCAAGCCCCATTGTCAGCAGAGATTTGAGTTGGAGGATCTCATTACTCAGATCTTTCTTTGAGTAATTTTCAGGTTGGATTATAAGCACTCACATTTCTGCTGAATTGTTTGAACATCTTTTACTAACTCCCTTGTTTTCCTCCAGTTTTTCATGGGCCCATAACCTCTAACCTGTCCCATTTAATGGCCTCCTTTCTGGATTAGATCTCTATGAAATTGTTTGCAAGAATATACATGCCAAATTCTGGTCTGTTACACACAAATGCAAGCTTGCTGAGATTAGTGGAGATATATTTTCTTAGACCATATCTAAATTCAGCCATGGAATTTCTATCGGAGTTAAAGGAGGTTTGTACATGGGATTGGTACAATAACTGTATTTATATGTTAGAGTATGAAAAACCATTGGGCAGATAAGGCCTTTAAAATGGCATAATTGTACTTAATAGCAATGCATAATCGAATGGAAAAAGTAGCTCTCAAGTTCAAACATAATTTTTGATATCACACTAGTCTGTGATTTGGTAATGAGCAATATTAGAAATGTGCTACTGTAAATACTCTTGCAGGTAAGTATAACATTCATGGACAACTAATCTTCCCTCTGTAGGTACACATTGAAATAGCATGAAATATGAAAATCCGAGGTGGCAACCAGAAAGCATTTGGCTAATCGCTTTTTATGTCCTTGTGTCTAATCATCACCATAATGACAGACAAGAAAGAAAAGTAACTGGAGTTAGATTGGCAGTTAACATTGTATATCAAAGCCTCAGAGGTGATTACTTTTAATGTGACAGCAGGACTATGACATCTCAATGATAAGTCAAGAAATAGTGTAAATTACACTGAGGTACTTTGACATTTTGTAATCCACTGGTTTTACTTTAAATCTACTTGCCTTCTTGTTCAGTTTCACAGTGACACAAAATAAACATGCTTATTCGGCCCATATCTGTCTGAATAAAGAAGAAATCAAGGACCTCATCCAAAGCCCATTGAAGCCAATCAGTCACTAAGGGGTAGGGTTACACTGCAAAAAGAGATGTGCTATTAACACGGGTTAAATTAGCAGTGAACACAAGACAACACATCTTTTAACTCGTTAGCAAGTCGAGTTAAAGCCGATAGGGGAGCTTGGGAGACTGCTCTACCCGCTGGGCTATTGGGTATAATGTGGGCACCTCCACCTTCTACAATTTTTTTTTCTTTCTTTTTTTGCAAGAAAGGGCTCAGCTGACTTGGGTGCCTAACTACAAAAGAGAAGTTATGGCTTGAGTCCTGTGTGAAGGAAGGCATCTCTCTCTGGTCAGTGGGGTGCTTAAATCCCTGTGAAGGGTGGGACTTAGGCTGCACCCCTGTCCTCAGCATTTCCTATTGGCTAGTTTATGCAGCTCCCTGCTAGTCAGGGTACTGGCTTCTTAGAATCCCTTTTAGGCACCTTACTCTCTTCCTACATTGTGCTTAACATGGGTTTGTGAATTCCACTGAGCAGCAGGGCACCAAAAAGTTAGATGCGGTAACACTCAGCATTACAATGCCTATGGCCTCCTTGTGAATTTAATGCTAAGGGTCTGAGCCTCCTCCTATTGAAATCAATGGGTAATTTGCCATTAGCTTGGAAACAGGACACTGAGACTCCTAACAGTAATGTTTCTTCTACATATTGTAGTGGTAGGAGAGAGGGTAATGACTTTATGATAATAAAGCAAGATGTAAACCCAATTTAATCAGCATATTGCTTGCGTCAGTGGAAAACAAACCAGTCAGCCTGCAAGGACAGAGAGAAATAATCACAAAAAAATGGGTTCCCACTTTGAATGTAAAAGGTAGGAGAGCAGCAGTCTGCAAATAAGATTTTGATTAGCCCATGTTCATGGTAATCAGTCTTAATAGTTTGGCTCTAAGCTAAAATGTGAAGTCACCTAGAATTTACTAATGTCTTTTGCTGTTTTTGTTTTGTAATTTATACCCTGAATTAATGTGCCTGTTCTAAACTTGTTTTTTTATTAAGTGTAGACTTGGTTAATGGTAGAGTTGTTTCTTTGTGTTCATCTTGTACTTTAGCGGGTTATATTAGAGCTGGGCCAAACAGGTTTAGACAGGTTCTAGTTCCTTTGAGGTTTAGGTACCTGACCAGGAGGTTAATTCAAACTACTTTCCACACTTATAACTTCCCTTGAAATGAATGGTAATAACAATTGAGGCTAGTGAAAGAAAGGGAAATGCCTTGCTAACATTTAAAAAGGCTTTCAGCTACTAAAATATCATTTAGAAAAACTCCTGTATAGTTCCTAAATCCTCATCACATACACCTGTAGGAAGTACAACTCCATCAAATGTTTTGTGGCCTTCTGTAGCTCACTCTGATTTTCTTGTTTTCATTCGTGGTATTTTAGGAACAGCTGTTCACCAGCTTATGTATCTCTAAAGCTAGATAGCTCCTCGGAAAAATAAAACAACTCCTGAATATGTAACAGATGTGCAAAACCCGCCAAATGAGACTAATTAACCCAAGATCTATGATGTGCCCCGGTAACAGGCCAGAGGACACATCTAACAGCAGTCTAAGTGAGGAAGGCAGCATGTTTTGACATCAAAAGTATATTTTTCCAGTTAGCAAGTCTCCCTTCTGGTTTGCATGCTTTTTGTCTGGGTATTTCTATCTTAGCCCATTTCTGTGATGTCCCTCTTGCAAAAGTTATGTATTATATTCATATTAATGTGCCTATCATTAAAAAGAAGGCTGAGTCAGGAATAGTTATATAAATAGATCATTTACAAATGAACGCTGCTCTTAGGACACTACTTAGACTAATGTGATCCAATAAGAACACTGTCTTAATAATTTAGTGTCAAAGCTAAGATGGAACCAAAGACACACCTTTTAAAAGCAGAGCCATTATTCTTCAAGGCATATTAGGATAGTCAGTTATGCACATCCATACAATATGTCTTAGAAGACATAGAGCTTAATTCTGCTTGGACATGCACAGCTCAGTAGGTTTGCACTAGTGCAAAAAAGAGTGGAATTTGGCTGATATTCTGAAAATCTGAAACATACCCTTCAGCTACAAGAGGTTTACACCAGTGTAATTGAGATCAGAATTTGGCATTCATTGCCTTCTAGGTAATAGAACAGAATACAATAAACTAGAACTACAATGTCCTGGCCAACATTTGCAATCTGAATAAAACAAGATCTACTGTCCAACACTCTATAGGAGATAATGTTGAGTACAATGACCATATGTGCCTACACAGCGTCTGCCCTACGAGTGTCTAGAGCTTATTACTGGTAAGCGCTTTGGGAAATAGTGAGAAAGATACTGTATAAAACCAAATTATCCCTTACTCTCTTTGAAAAAAGTGCCATATTCCATTTCATGCCAAAAGACTGTTATGTTCAAAGCCTGTTTTTCTGTTCAAGAGATTAGCCTCGTTCAGTTTATGCACATTAGCTGTTTTTCAGAAATCTGCCCCTTGTAAAGTGTGTCAGAGTGACCTCAATTATTTGAGTGAATTGTGCTCTGCTGGACTTTTCAATCAATAGCTGAACAGCAGCATGTTACAATAGGATCCAATGTTCTCTACCTATAGTGTAGCAAGGGTGCAAAAAGTCTATGAGATTGAGTAATTTTTGTCCTAATATCACCACTGGGAAAACATTAGTTTTTCATCTAGACTAACAATGAGATCTGCAATGGCAATATAAGAACTGCTGAAATGTAAAGATAGTATAAACTAATTGTTGAAGAGAGCCAGATATGGGCATTATAATGCTCAGAATAATCTCATCCGTTTGCACTCCTGTTATTAAAACAGTTCCTTTATTTTTTTTTTAATTTAGAGAAAAGGGGGATCAAATCTGTCTTTGGGTGCAGTAATATGAAGAAGAGCATTTTATAAAACAAGAAAGTATGAGAGATTATTTGCATCTTAGTTGTTTATACCAAAAGAATTTAAGCACTATTTGCCAGGCATGGCCGATATGACATGACTGGCAACTGAAGCACTTTCTTAAATGAATTCAAAGATCTTTATCAGAAATGTAATTATTTGTTTTGTTTTCCCATTTATCTGGGTCGGTGGGGAAGATATTTTTGCTGTATCTTTTTGCAGATGCCTTCTATATTATTCTAAATGTATGTAAATTTCACTACAGTAGTATTTCAAAGATCCATTTTGATAAAATGATGTACTTCTGTCAGAGACATTGTGGAAACGGTGGTGTATGGTGGAATTCTTTTGATATAATTTTGTTGGCATTCAAAACACAGCCTGTTGGTGTATTGAATGTGTATGTGTTGTATTTGTCAATGCAAAATAAATATTTAAAAGTTCAGCAGAATAACTGGTCTTTATTTCTTGATGCCAACTTTTGCCTGCAACGTTTTGATACAACAATTTCAAGTAACCTTCTGCAATTGGCTTCAGTGTGAGCACTATCTGCTGCTAAATTTTTAAACATCTTGAGCCAAATTCTGTGCTGACTTCATTAGGACTGACTGCAGAGGTTTAAGTACAGAATCTGGCCTTTTTTGTGGGCCAGATTCTGCCATCCTTATGCACACCAAGCAGTACTTCATGCCCACTGAAATCAGTGTCACCATTTGCAGAATAAGGTAGTACTATATGTGAGAGAGGATGGCAGAATCTAGCACTCTATCAATAGGTTAGCAGCACATTTGTATATCTTGATAAAACAAGATACCTGATTTATAGCATTTGTGTTTGATGTTGTACATAACTATCTCGGTTGTTCACCTTACCACTTTGGGGGATCACTGTAGCATATTTAGACAGCTATGGTGACATTGATAATTGCATGCAGAATGGCTCATCGTATGTGTTTTTATTAGCAATGCTGAAGAGGCTTTCACCCTACTGTGGGCTAAGAACAGCTGATGATATTGGTATGACTCTGCACCTGCACTTCCTTGTTAAAGGTAAGAGAAGCAACAACAGATCAGAGTCTATAGCCCACAAAGATGTGGCCTGTGAATAACGGATGAATAGTGTATCTAAGGGCTGGTCCACACTAAGCCCCCAGTTCGAACTAAGATACGCAACTTCAGCTACGTGAATAACGTAGCTGAAGTCGAAGTATCTTAGTTCGAACTTAAAGGGATTTACCGCAGGTCCACACGCGGCAGGCAGGCTCCCCCGTCGACTCCACCTACTCCTCTCGCGGAGCAGGATTACCGGCGTCGACGGCGAGCACTTCTGGGATCGATTTATCGCGTCTAGACAAGACGCGATAAATTGATCCCAGAAGATCGATTGCTTGCCGCCGAACCAGCGGGTAAGTATAGACGTACCCTAAGAAGAGCAATCTTTGAACTTTGTGATGAACAATTTGAGCAGCTGGCAGGTAGAAAAAATTCCCTTTCCGTCTCACATAAAGTGTTCCCTGTCTTCTCAGTGTCCGGTAGAAGGAGTTTCCATAGGGTGGCAATTGGGCAAGAGTCCCAGATGGACATGTCTGAGCAGCTGTCTGCCTTCAGATCTTACACCCGTTGATTACTGCTAGTATTACTGGATATGTGGAGGGCCCTACCAAATTCATGGCCGTGAAAAACATGTCCCAGACCGTGAAATCTGGTCTCCCCCATGAAATTTGGTCTTTTGTGTACTTTTACCCTATATTATACAGATTTCACATGAGAGACCAACATTTCTAAAACTCGGGGTCCTGATCAAAAAGGAGGATGTGGGGGGGGGGCACAAGGTTATTGTAGGGGGGGTTACGGTATTGCCACCCTAACTTCTGCACTGCCTTCAGAGTTGGGTGACCGGAGAGCAGCGGCTGCTGGCCAGGGCGCCCAGCTCTGAAGGCAGCAGTGCAGAAGTAAGGGTGGCAATACCATCCCATCCCATCCTTACTTTTGTGCTGCTGCTGGTGGCAGCACTGCCTTCAGAGCTGGGCTCCTGGCTGCTCTCCAGCCACCCAACTCTGAAGGCGCAGAAGTAAGGGTTGCAATACCACAACCCCCCCCTACAAAAACCTTGTGACCCCCTCACCAACCGTCTTTTGGGTCAGGACCCTACAGTTACACACCATGAAATTTCAGATTTAAATAGCTGAATTCATGAAATTTGCAATTTTAAAAATCCAATGACCATGAAATTGACCAAAATGGACTGTGAATCTTGTAAAGTCCTAGATATGTACCATTGCTCAACTTCCTCCACTATCAAACAAGAGAGGGACCTAACCACTAGACTATGAGATATTTTGGGGGTGGGTATCTCAGTCTCTCCTGTTGAAGCTCTTCTACTCTGTATAAATACTTAACTTGGCATTGGAGCAGGGACTGAAACTTAGGACTGCCATCTCCCAGGTGAGTGTCCTAATCACTGGGCTACAGAGTGATTTGGCCCAGCCCTATTCAGTTGCAGAGAGAGGGCCCAAGGATCCGCCCTTCCTGCTCACACTCCCGTGCAAGGGTTGGGCACAAGTGCAGTCCTTGTGCACTATTTTTCTGAGGCGGGGTAGTAAGCAAGTGCAGAGCTCTGACAGTGGAGCAGAGCTGGCTGGTTACAGGAGGAATGATGTTGCAACCTGTAAGAAGGTGCAAGAGCAGCTATGCTGTTTCTGTCCTCTGTGCCTGCCTGAGTCCCAATGCCCTCAGAGCTCTCACAGTGGTGCAATGTCCATCATTTAGGGCTGTGCTTTGAGGGGGATTTCTCCTTGGTACAGAAGACCAGCCTAAGGCCATGTACCAATTCCATCTAGAGCTGGTTGAAAGTTGGAATTTCCATTTAAGGGACTTCTTGATATTTTGAAATTTATTTTTGTTTCAAATTGGAACGGAATGCTGGGATCGGACGACAGGGGATGGATCACTAGATAATTGCCCTGTTCTGTTCATTCCCTCTGAAGCAATTGGCATTGGCCACTGTCGGAAGACAGAATATTGGGCTAGATGGACAATTGATCTGAATCAGTATGGCCATTCTTATGTCAACAAATATTTTTCAGAGTTTCCTGTGAAACGGAAATGCCAAAAAATTTTCATTTCAGAAATGTTTCCTCTGCGAATTTTGAATGTCATGTTAATTATTTTTAAATGAGTTCATGATTATGCACTATTACTACTGATCTACTGTACTATGACTTAAAATAGTCAAAGTATTCTATTTTATTTTTTAATTTTATTTTTAAAATCATTAAGGGCAGCCGCTATTTAATCCGGATTGAAACATCATCTTTCCAGCTCAAAGTGTCTCCTGTTTGTGTTGTAATAAACCAGTTTGACACTTGTCAGTGAAAAACTGTTTCAATTAAAATTTTCTGACTAGCTCTATTTAAATCCCATGTAAGCCTTATTTAGAAGGTGCATTGACCTTGGGCTGGTCATCTGCACAGGGGTGGATTTTACTCAAAAAGCACAAGTAAACCTTTATGAATAGAAATACGTCTTCTTGCTGAATTTTTCATCCACCTACGAGTTGGGATCCCCAAAGCAGGTGTGAGGCACAGTGGAGGAACATCATGGCAAAGTGCCACTGCCTGTGCTGTAACTTACCTGTGGCTTCAGGACTTCAGGTTCCTGTGTTGTCATTCTGGAATCTTTCATGGGAGCCAGTTCCAAAGTCAGTGGAAAAAATCCCCTTGATTGGATGAGGCCTATGAACAATAACTTCACTCATATCTTAAGGGGGATTTAAAACCATTCTTATTCTGGACCTAAATCTTTAACAAGGCTTTTTATTAATTTTGCAAAGAATAAATACATTCTGTTACACAGCAAAGTTAAAATAAATATACTGGAGAAGAAAATGGCAATTTTTAAAAGAAAGATTGCTGTGGGAACCCGAACAAACTGCTAGAGAAGATAGAGTGAAATCTAAGTGATCACAGGAAAATTATTTACTTGGCTAAAGTGACTTCAAACCATGGTAAGGTGACAAAATATCCTGGTAAAGCAGAGTGAAGAGTGATCCTATTCAGTTAAAACCTTAACAATGAAAAATATTTTGTTATCACCTTTTCAATAAACAACAAAATTAGTGACACTTGAAGATAATACCTACTGATTCCAGAAAGCAAACTTCTATGGTTACAACTTCATTCTATTTTCATAAACATACAGGGATGTTCCACCCACCTGCCCATTATGATACTGGTTTCTATAGCGCTGTTACTGCATTGTTACAGGAAACTAATTTGTGGATTTTACTGCATCATTATATGCTGCCAGTTTGGGCCCTGATCCTGATTTTGTTCACATCTTCAACTCACTCATATCGCTGGATATGCAAAGAATACATAATCAGGTTCTACATAACCTCTCATATGTACCTGCAATATACATATTGTAGTATGCACTGTGTGATTAGACCTGGCTGAAATTCAGAATTTCGGGTTAGCAGGGAAGTTCCACATTTTGAAATTTGGTTGCAATAAATATGGACTGGGACCAAATTTTTCAGTTTCCTGTGGCCCAGGGGTTCTGAAAAATTTTCTTTCAGAAACACTGCAATGAAATATGCTCTCTGGATTCCTGGCAGCTGCTAAATGAAATTAATATGATTAATGATTCTACAGCTGTAATGCGTCCAAAGCTGCCACGCAGCCAACTCCAGCAGCAGAGAGGCTGGTAGCTCTGGGAGCCACAACTAAACTGAGAGTCAGGTTACCAGGCAATCAGAGTATGAGACATGCCAGATGGCAGACTGGGAGTCAGGGTCAAGAAGGAGGGCAGATATTGGGAGGTCAGAGTCAGGCAGCAGGATCAGGTAACTCGGGACAGCAGTCCTAAGCAAGGAAAAACCCAGTTTTACTGACAGCTTCCTGGTCCTCTATTTGGTTTAAATAGAAGCAGGGAACCAATTCGGCCGGAGGGTTTCACTTGTCAGCTCCCAGGACTGCAGTCCAGTGACAAAGTTGAGCTTTGAATCTGGGCTATTATTAGAGGTCACTGGGTGGCGAGTTGTCACTTACTAGCTCCAGGCGATGTTGAACCAGGCTTTTTGGGATGGTTCCTATGGAATGCTTGAATTAGAGTAGGGGCATATACATTTTTTGTTGGCTCCCATGGGGACTTCCTCAGGGCCATCTCTCTCCCAGTGGATAAAGTTCCGGAACCACCCACATTTATGTTTACAGTCCAGACTCTCATGAACCATGTATTCCTCCTGGCCCTGTACTTATACTGGTGGAGGAGGTGGCTGGGTCATAGAATCGTAGAATATTAGGGTTGAAGAGATCTCAGGAGGTCATCTAGTCCAATCCCCTGCCCAAAGCAGGACCAACACCAACTAAATCATCCCAG